GTCCTGCGGGCTTCTCTGCACCCCTCTGAGATAAAACACCTTATTACAGCGGAGGGGTTGGTATGCCCATGTGATCCTGGTAGCCATGTTGTCACTGGCAACAGCTCCTTGCAGGGCCTCACAGGGCCAATTGTTCCCAGGTGAGGCGCCAGACTACCAGAACAGTGTCTCTGGAAAGGAAAAGCAACCTTAAACTGGGCAAACTGGTCCCCCTCCCTCCCAGAACAGGGGCCCAGGAAGGAGAAGTCAGGATAGCACCACTTGGGGGCACCATAGTTGCACAGGGGGGCAAAGTTGACAGAGGAGTTTTCTTTATGCCCCAGGGAGAGCTGGGTGCATGGAGTCCTGGCTGGTCTTAAACAAAGCCTCTACTGCAGAGACGACTGTTTGGTGCTGGAGCCAGAAAGTCATTGTGCCTGTCATAGCAGTGGTGGAAGAGGTAGTGAGATTAGCATTGAACTCTGCCAACATTGTGCCATGTGACCAATTTTGCGTGTGATTTTCACAAGCGGAGCCTCTGGTTGCAGCAGAGGAGTAGAAATGTCCGGTTGGGTAACCTCAGATTGCATCTTTCCTTTTGGCCGGTGATGTAGTTCTGTTCCCTTCACTGGATCCGAACTTTGAGTGCAGTTTGCAGCTACGTGTGAAGCAGCTGAGATTAGAGCCAGTGCACTCTAAGACAGAGGCCATGGTATGTACTCTATCATGGCCTTTGGTTTGGGAGTGAGTTGGTGCTGCAAATGATAATGTTCACACAGAGAACTTCATGTCCTCAGTAACTTTAGGGATGGAGAAGGAGATCAATAGGCTATCACTCTGGCAACAGTAATGACGCTGATGCTGCTCAGGAGACTCATAGAGAGAAGGTCCTGTGCTGAGTTGGTACTTTGGTATAAAAGTGAAGTACAGAGCATTGATTGTTGATCGTCTTATGCTTTTAAATTATAACTCGTTGTTATATTAAATGTATTATTTAGAAATGATATACAGAGCATCTTTGGTATCACTAATGCTCGGTCATTGCCTCTGTACGTCTGCATTTGTTTTATTAACCACAAATAAATCTAATGAAAACCAACAAGTAAAGATTTTGTTCACAATCACTTATGAATTTTCATCTTTCAGTCACACATTTTCACATAACTATCATATGATTTGTATTCTTTAGAAAATAATCTGGGTTTATTGTAGTAAAGGAAAAATACGGACCTATACACCTCCTTCATTTAATGTTCAGCGCTGAACACTAGAGGGTGATAGAGTTTTCTTTTTTCTCTCTCGCTACTTCACAGAAACAAAATAACCATTCCAACTAGACATTTTAGTTTAAGTCAGTCTGGTAATTAAAATGTGTTTGTTTTTTCTTGTTGTTGAAGTTTATCGTTACACACACGTAAGGATTTAAAAGTGCTCACTGTGGTTCAGGCTGAAACGTCTGCAGGATGACCCATATAATATTTCAAAGAGCTGTGCACTGCTGACCTCTCTTCACTGGCTGCTCCCTTAACCTTTGGCCTCAAAGCCATTTCTTCACATTTACTGGCACATTCATCTGAAATTGTGTGAGTGTTGTGTCACCTGCCATGAAAATCACACACTGAATGTCAGCAGGTTTACAGACAAATCTCCACATGCCTTATACCCACAGCTGAATTATGAACATCCGTGTAGCACTTCAGAAATTCCTCTGCGCTAAATTCAGCATAAGTATAGCCTAATGTAGTCTATAGCACCAAGGCCAAAGCACTGTACTTTCAATTCCCAAAATGAGTAGCTTCTAGTATGCTCATCCAGCTTGTGAGTTCGGCCTAAAACCAGCAGAGCTTTGCAACAGATCACATGCTTTGCTTTGTTTCCTCAAGACTGGATTGTTTTGCTAAGTGATTTTCATATAAATCCCTGAAGAGAATTATTTCCCAAATCCCTCATAAACTGCAATATACTACCAGCTGACCAAAAGTATCAAAAGACACAGTCAGAGGAGGCTTAAGCCTTGTCGTCTACCTAATTGTTATTTATATTTTAGAAAGGGATTTTTGTCATTGAGGGATTTTCTACTTTGTCATCCTGTACAGGATTTCCTTTTGCCGGGGGACGAGTACTCCTATTTAGTTCCTGCTAAGCGACTTCCTCCCTGGAAGGCTGCTCAAACAATGCATCCACACAGCTGGCCTTTCATTTGAAGAATTCCTGAGATGTTTGTGGCAATACTACATAATTTACAAATTCACATATTTTCCAATCTGTATTCTTTGATTGTTGTAAATACATTTTCTTTGGTATAACTAGGACTTGACATTGTTTACATTTAATGTAATGGTTGAAAAGTTAGTCTTCATGTTAGCCTTGAAAACTTGCTTGTACCAAGTGGGTTCCTCATAAAAAAGTGACAAAGATAGACTTTCTGTTGCACTGGCTTCAGGAATTAGGCTACTGTGGATGAAAAGTGGGTTAACTCATCCCCAGCCTGCCCATTGCATCTCTAATTTGCCCTGGTTTTTGACAAGCTGCAGTGACAGTGTGGCTCAGGTCTGCATGGTGCCAGGTAGTGACGCAGGTAGGTAAGAACCACAGTAGGGGGTTTGGAGTTTCTACCAGGAACCCACCGGGCAGTGAGTAAAACTGGCACTGACCTGTATAATCCAAGCTCACTATTTGGCACACACATAAAGTCCAGCTTAGCACTTGATGCACTCTGCGACACAAACACACTGCATCCATGGGGCAAATATTACTGTGTACATGTATCTTTCTAATCTGTACTTCATACTTACATACTGTGCATTGCTGTTGTTTTAATGTAACCTACGTGTAGATTCTTCTTAAGTTAAAGAAAATATGGAACTGCCTCAAAACCTTGAGAAGGAAAGATACATCATTTCTTTACTATAGTGTAATATTTTTTTTATGTGACGTGATCTTATAACATTTTTTACAATTTTCTCAAAATCGTAGACCACATTATTTATGAACATTCTGCTGCTAGCACCAACCAGGACCAGACCACTAACATCCACCACTTTTTTCACATCAGTGACTAAGCAAATATTTACAGACATGCTTTGTCTCCTCCACACATCATTTTTTGATTTTTGATTTTTTCGTATTACAATAGGTGTTTTGTGATGTGTTTTCTCGTACTGATCATGGAGGTGGGTGTTTAAAGATACTGTTAGATTGTTGTGATAATGCACATCTTCTTTGTGGAAATTCTTTTGCCTCATTCTGAAAAGCAGAAAACACCCATTTGACAGGTTGTGGAAATCTTTCAAATAAGCTTTAACAAGGAAAACAGTGATGTGATTTGTGCTTTGTCTGAAATGTGTTCAAAACTGTTTTCGCTTTTAGAAAACCAAGGACAGCAAGTATGAAACCAAATGTCGTTGTTTCAGCAAATGTCAGCTGGGCCACATCTACCACCAACAAACAAATGCACACCAATGCTTCTCTCGGCTTCTCCACTTGCCCACTGTTTGTGTTTATGTTTTTGTAATTATGTCTTATTTTTCTAAATGATAAACTTGCTACATTCAAGAAAGATTTGAAAGTAGTCCAAAAAAGGTTTGAGTTAGGCTAATGCTAAGCAAGCTCGCTGTTGGCTGTTTGAAGCTAGTTGTTGCTAATGCAACACTGTAAATGACTGTTACTGTTGGTAACACAGTAAGAAAACAGAAAAACCTACAAGTAGTAAAAGGCAATGACGGTTATCCGAATAAATAAAATTAGAAACCATTTTAGATTGCACTGCGGGCCTTAAAAATAAATATGCATTTTACTCATTTTATTTTATTTTATTGCATTTTTTGAAGATTATGTATTTAATTGGCCTTTTCTAGATAAATTCCTGTAGGACTGTTGTCATTGGCTACTTTGTTTGGGACAGTATCACTAAATTCCCTGCTAGACTGTAGGTTCTCTAGCAAATGTGATGTCTTTGTTACTGTACAAACTCACTTTGACAGCAAAACATTTCCTTTAAATTTGTAATCTGTGTCATTAAATGTGTGTTCCTTTAGCTTCCTGTTTTCAAAGTTTAACAACAGCGTCAGGGAAAGCCTCAAAAACCAACTTCTGATCTGCTATTCTGTTCTCTCTTTTTTTTTTTTTACCCTCACCCCGACCAGGGGAGGCAGATGTCTGCCTTCCCTGAGCCCACATTTTTCTTAATACTACACAAAAGGAATCTTTAGACTTAATTTTATAAAGTCTTCACCCAACTAGTAGAGACACGAACAGGCACCATATGAAGGAAACTGAATTCATGTGGATTGAACCTGAATTGATTTGAGCCTTTATCATATTTATTCTCTTAAGAACTGGCCGCCACATGCATGGACATCACATTTTGGGTTACATTACCACAGTAGTTAATAATTTTTTTAATTTTAATTTTTTCTATTTAATTTAATTTTTTAAAATGTATTTATATATATATATATATATTAAAAATAATTTTAAATATTTAACATATATGTTAATATTTTTTTTTTATATATATTTTATAATTTTTGTTCTTTTTAAAAAAAATAAAAGATGCATATTTAACAAGAGCTTGGGTCTTAAGAGTTTATGTTCAGCACCTTTCAAAGCATTTTTTACACATCGTGAAGGGAAGAGAATAGTGTGACAATAAGCTATGGCCTACATACTGATTCAATCTTTTTATTTTGTAGCAACATCACTTTGGACAAACTTTACAGGCAGTGTATGCTTATAGATGATTGTACAGTCCTGTGGCTGCCTGGGTATTTTTATAACTTACAGTCTACTTCCTCTGTGTTATTTCTACCCAGAGTCTTCTTTTCATTCTTTGGCAGTGTGCATCATTTCTACAGTTTGAACACATGTGAGGTCATGCAGCAGGAGTGTGAAACTTCATTGTTCAGGTCCTGCACTGAGCAGCAGAACAATAGGGAGCATTAGGACCCCGAGGCGGGGAAGGCTTCCTCCTCCGTCTCATTATCCATTGATTTGACAGCTTGATCGGACGACCAGTTAGAGGGAGGAATGGGAGAAGGAGGTGGCCTGCGTCTTTAGTGCGGTTCGCCCAAGTTTTGTAAAATTCCTGGTTTGTTTGTAAGACAACAGCAGCAGCACTGCGATGTCTGTCAAACACAGCTGCTCATTATTCCACTCATTTTCTACCGGATAAACCCGAGCTGCTGTTTTTACAGAGAGAACCAGTTCATCGGACCAGCCAGTTGGGGATTCAGTTTTAATGGACTAACAGGTTCATTTTTTTATTTCCTTTTATTGGTTTCTCATTTTGGGAGCTGTGTTTTCAACGTTTGGACTCAAACAGCCGGTCTAAGTGCTGTTTGTGGACTGGAAGTGGAGGCTGGGGGCGCACACGTGTAGTCTGTCCTCCTTCATCCGGCTCAGGACGCATCGATCCGCCAGCTCTCTCTGGATAAAAGTTGTTTTTCTGCTGGGGATTTCGTTTTAAAAGAGGAAGAGAAAGCCAGAGACAACATGTCGCTAAGCAGAAGTATTGAATTTGAACACTTTGAGGAACGAGAGAAGCCGCACCGGACACCGAGGACCAACTCGGGCTCCGGGTCTCAGTCTGGCTCCAGAGGCAACGGTCTGGTCCCCAGCCCGGCGCACAGTGCGCACTGTAGCTTCTACCGCACACGCACCCTCCAGTCCCTCACGTCCGAGAAAAAAGCCAGAAAAGTGCGCTTTTATCGCAATGGGGACAAATACTTCAAAGGTTTGGTGTACGCCGTGTCCAACGACCGGTTCAGGTCCCTGGATGCTCTGCTCATGGAGCTCACACGGTCCCTGTCGGACAACGTGAACCTTCCTCAAGGAGTCCGGACGTTGTACACGCTGGATGGGGGCAGGAAGATCAGCAGCCTGGATGAGTTAGTGGAGGGTAAGGGCGGTGATGGATCACCTTGAGTGACCACAAATCATGACAGGAGCTCCTAGTATCAATGATAGCTTCATATCTCATTGATTCAGATATGCATTGATTACATAAAAGCTACAGTTAGGATTGAATTGAGCTCAATTGCTCATGAAAAGCACACTCTGACTACATGTAGATCCACAATCAGAAAGTTTCCACTTTGTTCAAAAGCTCTGTCCTGTACTTCAGCCTATCCACTTGTCTCTAGCAGTATATTACAGATGTATTGCAGAACTTCTCATGCATCACTGTAGATTCATTGACATAACTGTCCTGACACGTTTGACCCAGTGTCATGCATGCAGGCGAGCATACAGAGCCACCCCCACCTCAGTGCAGCTTTAGTTCAGGACCCAGCTCTGCTACTGTGCATCACTGTCCATTGATCTCAGCTGGACTCACTCCTCTTGCTGTAGCCTACTCTATTTGTGAGCTTATGTGGGCGTGAAAGTGTTCTGTGTACATGTCTGCACGGGAGGTGATGTATGTGTGTGTGTTGCTGCAGGGCTCACTGCCTGTTAAAATGTTTTACATTGATCTCACCCTTGGGGTTTGAAAGATGAAAATTTCCCTCCCCCATCCAGTATCTGTTCATTGATTGCAGTGCAGATGTGAATACATAGGTGTGAAATGTAATTTAAATGTTAAAAATGATAGTCACCAGTGCAAATGATGCTTCATGTAGCTATAGCTATATGATCAGTTTGGTCACCTTGGTGAGGAAGACTGAAGACCTCCTAAACGAATGTAGTTTTTAAATGTTGCATCAAAAGCGCTCACACACTGCAGAAACAAATAGGACGCAGTCTCTGACCCCTGCGGGGACGGTGACCTCTCAGTAATAAGTTAATCTTGACGTCAGGCCTGGAGTGTCTGTCTGCATGAAAGGGGTTGCTGCTCGGCCACACATGCGTCAGATCCACTGACCTCTTCCTGCAGTTATTATTCTTATATACCGGCCTATTTTCATCTGACTTCCTCCTGAAGTTTAGTTTCTGTGCTACTCTCATCTCCCATACTGGATCCCCCGAGAAACTGGGCAAGATTTAGGCCAGGGCCTGATCTAAATTCTGTAGCATCACTACTTTGGCAAACTGAGCAAAAGTTGTTTTGGTGCACTGGCTCTGCGTCTGACTGACACCTCAACAGCACATTTTGGCTGGGATTTTATTTGATCAGGTCACCCCGATCACATAATAAGACCATTTTACTCTTTGTGGCAGTGGAGAAAGGTTTTATTTAAGGTTATCTTAAAGTCATCTTAAAGATATCTGTGCATGAATTGTCTGCTCCTCTGGTGGTGTTTGCAGAAGAATTTGATATGGGATGAATGGAGGCAGTAGCTGTGAAAGAAATCAGACAAATAACCTTTGCAATGACACTTGCATGGAAGGCAATGAAATAATTTAGGCAAAGTGATGAATGCAAAAAAGTATTTGTGAGATTGCAGTTTTCATTTATCTATATTAAATGTGATATAACAGTCAAATAAACCAAAAAGTGAAGAATGTTTACTTCATTTTAACCATGTTGCATTTGTAGGCTCCAATGATTTCATTTTACTGAAACACATTAAAGTGGTGCTTTCAGCAGAAATTCTATTAATGATTTGGCTCAACAGACCCTTTAAAGGTAGAGTCAGCGATACTAATCCAATATACTTTATGTCAAATTCAGTGAATATCTCCTCACGGTTCACGAGCGGTCTGTTCAGTGTGTATGCTGAAAAAAGATCTGGTGTTGGTACACAGCCTTGGCTCTGTAAATGGGAAACAAAGTGGCTCAGACTGATCCACACAACACTGCTCCAGCATGTCCTGTGCACGTTCGTGCTCGTGCACAGGACAGTGAGAAAAGGGAGGGGGAAATGAGAGGGAGAGGAGCGGTAAATTTAAATATTCTAACTAGCTAAAACTCTTTCCCTGGAATCTTAGACTCCATCTGTCAGATAAGACTTTTTGCTAAAGTTTAAGATATAGTCGTGTCCTGGGTCAGCCATAAGCATGTGTGTTGGCTGTCGAGTTTGGACCAAAGCCCCTCGGACTGCAGGTGGGCCGAACACCAGCGTTTTGTCCTTGTGTACTCATCTAATGGACAGAGAGAGGGAACATTACTGCACAGCTCAGCAGTCTACCTCCATTGATTGAAGCTTGCTGGGCCTCTTTTATGTGGAAACCCAATCAAGCGCCATTCACATGTGCGCCCCTTATGACTGGTCGGGATTACTGAGCCAACCAGTCGACTTGAACTGCTGTGCTTGTGGAAAACAACACAGAGAGGTGTAGCAGACATTGAACAGGGTTTAGAAAGCGCTTTGTAAAGTGTGGATGTGTGGAGGTACTGACAGGGGAATTCTGGTTGGGACAATAACAAGTTTGCACGCCAAAGGTTGTGCATTGGTCCCAAATGGGGAAATCAAACCTTTTAATGATGTTTAAATTGGCTAAAGATATAGAGAGTATTAGAAATGTTTTGTATTTTATAGCTGTGTTGATGTCTAGTTGCCCCCTCAAACAATGAGAACTGATAAGGTGAAAATTAGCCCGATCAAGAAATGTCATATCAACAATCACTCTCTTGTGCTAACTGAGGAAATTCACTAATTTAAGTTATTAAAATCATTAAAGAGAGAGTGCTAAACATATGAACTCCTTCTGAACGTTTCAGCAACCTATTAGGGAAAAAAAAGTTGTCAAAACACGACTGTCTTCAACAGAATCTAACCAGTCAAAACAATACCAGCAATATGAAATATATGTTTCCGCATTGTGAGTTTTTAACAAATTATTTTAACCCAGTGATTTATTGACATCTGTCACTGTTGCATGAAGAACTTTGGTTTTAAACTTTGCTGATTTCAATTATCTTTGATTATTAAGCTCAGTTTTGGAAGCCGCTCAGTGATGAATATTTTTACGTCTAATTTGTAGAGGTTCATGGGAGAGAGCTCCAGGCTAAAACTGAGCTGAATCCTTGATTTATTCATGATGGATAGGCGAGGCCATGATCATCTCTGTTTTGGTAGTATTAGGCATTTGTAGTTGGGTTAAAAAGTGGATTTGATGAATGGAACAATAAAGATAATTAACAATTACGAAATTTCAAAAACAATTATTACCATTGTAATTGTTATTAGCAAACTTTTGAAATAGCCCCACCTGTAGTATAAAATATGACCAAATTGTGATCAATGAAGTGATGACTGGACCAAAGATTCTTTTTGTCTGTATTAACACAAAAACTGGCTTGTGTTTTGGACCGGTGACAGCTGTGTGGCTGCTGCAGTGAGAACTGATGGACTGGTTAGACGGCCCTGTTAAGGTTGACCTCATCTGTTGGCCACATGAGGACAGCAGCCAGTGGCGGGTGGCTGAGGCGCCTATCGCATCGCTGAGGGGTGTCGGGGAATAAATGGTCGCTAAACACCATCTGAGGGCATCTCAGGATTCTATCATTTCCCCCCCAGATAAATGACAGCCTGTTATATTTTGTTTTAGTGTTGAGCCACAGCTCCATCCCTCCAGCTGTGCCCTAGCCTTTTAATTAGCCTTTGGTTAATTGCAAGCTTAATAAAACCTGGTATCGCGGGACACACTGTCTCATTTGGACTTCTGCTCTCAGTTCGTTTGTCTTGACACACATCCTCGATCCAAAAAATTCATAGATGGGATTGATTCTTTATCGGCGAATTAACTAGTTAACTAAAAGATGAGGAACATGGTGCCATGAACGGCGAACTTTAATGAATACATTTCTGTGGTATGTAAGATTAAAATATCATACTTTAAGCTGCTTATAAATTAGCATCCGTGGAGAGCCTCATTGCTATGCAGTTCCTCTAATGTAGCAGACTCAGCTACTGAGGTTCTTCTCCTGATAAAGAGATACAGACACGAGTAATAATGTAATGGCAGTACTCTGCAGGGTATTGGCTGCACTGCACTTTGTTCCATGCTGCTAAGACGTCATTTTAACAGGCCTTGTATTTTCTCAGCTTGTACATGCTGTTCTTTTCTCAGAAAGCTTTGATGAACAACTCTGTGATTTGTGTCTCGTAGCTCTGTAAATATCTTCACCAAATGATTGCTAGAACACACTTCATTGAACATAAAGCACAATATTGCTCCTGAAGTTAAGTGTAAGTTGTTTCTGAGACAGAGGGAAGGATTGTTTCTGGATGCTGAAATAGTTTTGTGAGAAATGCTGCATGAAGAGAAAGTATCTGTCACTTTCCCACTCCGGTTCATGTTGGAACAGAGTGGCAGTGAGGAAGCACAGATCCAACACTCTGCCTTCAAAACATTCACCAGACATTCTTGCTTTGGTTTTCCCTTACCGGCCGAGCCCCTGTTCTCGTCACAGGACTTTGTTCTTCAGGGGAAACGTTTGCGTGTTAATGTGTTCAAATGGAATGCTGGCAGATAAAACAAAATGCTTTGCTTTGGAGGAAGGCCAGTGCAGCAGCTCAACAGCTGAAAGGGAGAGAGGACAGTATCACACTGCCTCTCAATGTGCTTTTTTGTTTCAACTGAAGAATGTTAACCCTTTGTTCTGTTCAACTATTTCGCCTTGTGGAGGCAGGATGTCACAGGGCATATATATATAAGGCTGATTCTGTGTAAGGTGTGTCAGATGACCTTTAGATATTTTTATAATTACCTTTGCAGTGTAGTGCAAACGTCAGGATCTGAATGTTTGCATGCTTTCACTTTGTTTATTTAGTGCCATAAGTGGCTTTTATTTATCTAAGAATTTCATACAAAGGGCAGCAAGTAGAGAAAACCTAATTAAAAATAAATAATTGCTATGTTTGCCTTTGGCTTTTACAGTCTCACCTATGCTCTCAGGTGCACGTATACACATTTTTTTCAAGTTACTCTGCAGGTAGGCTGTTCCAAACATCTTGAAGAACTTTTCACAGCTCCTCTGTGGATTCAGGCTGCATTATTTGGTTCTGGCTGTTTCATATAATCCCAAACTGAAGTGATGATGTTGAAATCAGGACTCTGTAGGGCCATATCACCTGTTACAGGACTTATTGCGTTCTTGTCACTGAGGATGCTGGTTCTTTGTGACTCTTTATGGCTGGTTGGGGCTGTTAATATGCTGCAGAACAAACTTATTGGAGACTGATCAGACACTCTCATAATTTTATTGTGTGATGGATGACAATAAAACACTTCATGTGGTACTGGGGGTCCAAGATATTCAATCTTTTATTAACTACATACCTCACAGAGCCTGTTTCTTTCTCCAGGTGAGAGTTATGTGTGTGCCTCCAACGAACCCTTCCGCCGTGTGGACTACGCCAAGAACGTCAACCCAAACTGGTCAGTGGGCATCAAGACCAGTACATCACGCTCCCTCTCCTCCCTCATCCCGCTGAAGAGCGACCTGCAGCGGGAGTCTAAGGACTTCATCAAACCCAAGCTGGTCACGGTCATCCGCAGCGGCGTCAAACCCCGCAAGGCAGTTCGGATACTGCTCAATAAGAAGACGGCGCACTCCTTCGATCAGGTGCTCACTGACATCACGGATGCTATCAAGTTGGACTCTGGTGCTGTGAGGAGACTGTACACTTTGGAAGGCAAGCAGGTAAGTTTAATAACATCCCAGTCAAAACAGATTGTCATTATACGATGTTGAGCCGCATGCTCCTGAATGTACGGCAGTAATCAATGCAAAAACTCAGGGAAACGAAGTATTTTCTTGTACTCGCCAACCCATGAGCTCACCGACTACAATTACATAACTTGACAGTTGGAGTGAAACAAACATATTGTTTTCAATGAGCTGAAACTGCATGATGTGCCTATGAGAACCAGATGGGAACTGCAAAGCTGAGCTTATCTCTAAAAACCAGTGTGATTTATAGGTTTCAGCTGTGTCAGCAGTCTAGGTAATTACAGTCCATTTAATCAGCCATACGTAATTACGCGCCACAGTTATTCCAACAAAGCACTAATGAATACACTTTAGAGTTCAGGCCTTTTGCCATATCCATCACTATTGTATCCTCCTACCTCGTCTGCTCCTATTGCACCACACGAGGCTGTTTGTGCTGTTACCCTATCCATCTGGGACACATATATATTAATGTTTCCATTTGAAATTCTCACTGCAGGCTTCCTGGTGTTCACAGATGAGATGAGCTGGAACACATGGTGTCCCTCATCAAACTGATTTATATTAATGTCTCAGCTGGTACAAGTCTGAGACAATAATAATTAACATATATATCCATTTAACGCTCGTCTTTTTGTTGATAATCAGCTTTTTGATTATCAGCAGGCTCTATTAACTTTGTATTGTGAACCTTACATTAATAATCTGAGCTAGATTAAGTTAAACCATGAAATATGTTTAGAGAACCAAACATGTTAAATGTATGACTTTCCTTTAATAGTGCAGTAATATTACTTCACCTCATAAAGACGTCTCTTTAATCTGATCAGGTTGTAGTCAGTGGATTTCAGGCTGGTTACTACCTATGTATTAGTGAAAAAATGTCTTGGAAAACTTTATGGAACTCCGTGTGTGTATTGATGAAGAAGAGGTGTTTGTGAGAGGGATGAAGAAAAATCAAGTATTGACTGCAAGCACCAGTGAAATGGCCCAATAAACAGTGGTTATTGTATAACAATAATAAAGTGTCGGAAGCGGCACTAAAATCAAACTGTTTGTTTTAGCTGCTTGTATGGTTTATATTAGCGTAATTGTTTTGCTATGGTTTGCTCCAGACGGCTATAATTGCACAAATTATGTGTTTATTCATAAAGTCATAAAAATTAGTTGACTGGAAAGAGCCTTTTAGAAAGTGGATGCTTGATCGTTGTTAACTGCTGCCTTGGTGTTTCTTGCTTTTGCTTAGGAGCTTGAATATTGCTTCATTTTAGATGGGCCTGAAGTGCTGTGCATGTTTTAAATGGAAAAATGCCAGAGTGACGCTGATACATAAAGTCAAAGAGTACAGAAGCATCAGCATTTCCTTGGTAATCGTTTCAGTAAATGGAGCTTAAACTGTGAGAGGTGGGAGAAAATAATTTAAACTGAAGTTTAACTGAGAATCAAAGTCTGACAACCAAAACAGCTGATGTTTGTTTCCTGTGAGTCGACAGGAATCTTTGTGGGCTGGACAGTCCAGACAAATGACTCATGAGAATTGTGATCTTTATCACCTTTGACAGAGCCGAGCCAGCATCCTTTTCTGTCAGGCTACCACTGTACAACCTCTAATGACCTGTTAGGATTGCATAACAGTGTCCAGAATGTAGCCATATTTATTTACATTATCTTAGCTTGAAGCTTCCTGCAGTGGATGGTCGTGAACTTGATGTGTCCCTCTGTGACTGTTAAAACTGTGGACGACGTGGCTTTACACACTTCCGATGTTAATGTCAGGACGTCGATACTGTGCTCAAAAATATGGTGCTAAAATCAAATGTTGCTTAATAATTGATTCGTCCGCAGCTGTACACATTAATACTACTTGTGAGAAACCTGTTAGATTCCCCACTGTGATTAATTCAGTCCAATATCTGTGACACACAGCCTTGATGTGTCTCTATTTCCATCTCTTAGTAGATTCCAAGTAGATCAGCCATGCAGACCAGCTGCTCTTTCCAGACATGCAATGCTTCACATTGCCAGGAAGAATGTATCTTTAGACTTTATGGGCAACATTCACTTACTTTAGTGCTTGTGATGTGCTGTCCACCCTGTCTTGCTTCTTGTGCTGAGAGAAGTAATCAATTCAAGTGAGAAGAGGCAGGCAGAATATTACAGTGATTGAGAGGGACATTTCTTTTTCTAAACAGGCATCTGCAGTTTGCCGGGATGTGGCCGTAATGTCTCTGTGAATTTAACTTGTGGTGGAAGTGGGAGAAACCAAAACTGACAGCTTCAGCGTTGTTTGGGTGGAGTGATTTTCAGTGGTGGTTTACATTTAACTTTTCTATCAACACCTTCATTCAACCAAGCTTGAATTCAACTGGCAGAACATAGTGTATGCCTTATACATATGGCTTTAGAATAAACTGGATTATTGGTTAAAGATGTTTAACAGAAAAATCTAATCATTAGCATGATATGTTACACGATTAATGTTCGATCCTGCATTTCAGTCTTGCTCATAAAGGCTGAAGTTGTGTTGCATACTCAGAATGAAGGCTATAATAATCACAATATTATTCATCGTTGCTCACTCTTATAGTTCCTGCAATGATTTAAAAGTGCAGCAGCAAAAGACAAGTCATTTTAAAAAAATCCCGAACCACACACCAACTCACGGCGGCTTAGTCAACCATAATGTTCTTTTATTAGGTTCAAGATGGAGCGCAGCCAATTCAACCACCAACATAACACCGACCTTTATAGCACGGTGAATTCAACAGGACTGGCTGTAGGGAAAAAAATTTGATTTTCTTCTAGCTTTTCATATTTAAATCATAAATAAGTCATTTGTGGAGGTGATTCACAACATGTACTGTGTAGTATTTTGGAATTATACATTACAAATGACACATTACACAACTCATGCTGACAAGTGTGTCATTAAGCTTCTTTAGATATTCACCACAAGGGTTTTTAATGATAATCACATCAGCCAGCAGTTACAGCAGTCTTTTATTTAGCCTGCTTTGACAAATGATTTCTGCTCTCTGCTGGAGCGTAACTCCATCCATCAATCTGCCCCAGTGAATTTCTTCATGATCAGATGAAGCCCAGAGTTTCTGACAGGACTGCATGGTGTCAAGAAATGCCTAAATACTTCATAGCGGCATATTCTGGATAAAATCAACAGTTTTAGTAAAAATAAGTCTTGCGGGCTGATACTTGCGTCCATCAGCTTTGTCGGCAAAGTTGTGAAGTATTTGCATTTATTAATGTAGAGAGCATAGGTGGATTAATGTAAGCATTGAAATCTTTACCAAAAATTCTTTTGGCTTGTTTACCAGAATTACACTTGCTTCATTATATTTAGGAAAATAATATCCAGCCACTATATTTATAGTTAACTTTATAAGCATGTTTTTGTTTTAAGTTTGACACTTTAGAGGCCTAACTGGTATCTACAGTTTTTGAGGTAAGAGTATTCTATTGATCAGCTGGTTGTTATTAGCAAAATTTTGTGTTTCTGTCTGGTTTTGCAGTGTAGCAACTCTACAGCGGAAACAACACACATGTTAGAGAGTGTTCTTCATTAAAGATCTAATACTCTACTTTAAAGCTGCTGTTTTCTTTATCGTCTGAGTTGTGTTGCTCTCTTGGCTTGAGCAGGATTATCTCAGAATTAAATGAAGAGTGTAAATGAGAGGTTTAACCCATCAGGTCTGTAACCTGATCTTGAAACCAGAGCTGGACACCTGATAATACCTCATCCATCATAACAGAAGCCACTTTAGTTTAAGTCGGTGAGTGCTTTCTGTAGCGTAGGCTTCTTTCAAGTGCAACGTAAATTGTAACATGATGCCATCATCTTTTATTTCTGAGTACCGATTACTTGGGAAACTGAATGGAAATCTCTTTAACCTCCCAGAAAAACACACTGTGGTAATTTGACAGCTAGATTTGTGTGGATCCCTGTGTCATGGAGCCTGTCTATCCCAATAGGCCTCTTTTTACAGCCTGAGTGGTGCCATATCGGCAACCACATGAACTAAAGACGAATTCCCACATTGTTGCTGGACTGTGAAAATCATGTATTTCCAAACGATCAACTTTTTATGAGAAAGAAAGAGAAAAAATTTTGTATTTTTTGTTATCATGACAATTAATTTTCAGCTAATCTGTTTGGCAAGTTTATCAAGTTTATTTCACTTTTCAATTTGGAGTTTTTTCTTACCGTACAAAGAACACAACTGATCAAACTCACCAAATTTTAGTGGTGTTTAGCCTATCCTCACTGGTGTCAACGAGGCTCACAAAATTATAGAAACCGAAATAACAAAATCACAGGCTTTGTTCTCCAAATAATACAGTTGAATCAAACACAAAGCAAAACCTGAAAAGTAGAATCTATGTTAAGGCAGGAGTTGCTGCAGGACTGTTGTATTTGACTGCATTAGATTTTAGCAAAGCAACTAACTAATGTGCAGTCTGTTACCAGTTCATGTGAAAATCGTGTAAACATTCCAGTTTGACCAAAACCCCTTAGATTCTGTAAAAAGCACTTCTAAGGCTTGTCGCTCAGCCACTCACACACCCATAAACACACACACACACACACACACACACAAACACACACACACACACACACTTCAGATGCCTTCCAGCAGCAGCCTACCATCTGCTCCTCCAAAATCAAATCAGAGGTCCCAGCCACCCGGTCTGCAGGCGCTACAGCCCCCTCCCACTGATGCACTCTCACACACACAGAAGCCCCCCGCCGGGGCCCCGGCCACCACCGGATAATTAGACCTATAAGCTGGAAGGAAGGGTTAAAGTGCAGCTGTCAGGTGTGTTTGCGGGTGTGTGTTGGTGGATGTGTACGTGCGAGCGAGTGCGCCTGCACAATACATCTCTGTCCACTCTCCCTCCTCGAGTCAAAGCTGCTCTTCAGACTGAATGTTAATTGTAGGTCTTGGTTATCAGGG